CTTGACTCTCCCACCTCGGAAAATCTCTGATCCTTGCTGTGTCCTGGTTTCCATATGTACATACCTTATGCTCTGTTTACTCATCTGTTGCTCACTCTCTACCTAGCTGGTTTTTCCTCTTTCTCTGCTGAAAAACTATTCTCTGTGTGGTTCATGTCTCTCCTATGTAACCAAGTGAGTGTTTGTGATGATCAAGTGAAATCATGTAATGGACATGGTGGTTGGTTCTCCAGTGTCTGTTCTTTACCAGACTATAGATCTGAGCCAATCATGATTGCTTTTTCCTCCTTACTAGTGATTGGTTCAGCAGTGGTCAATGCTGGGAAGTTTCTGAGAAAAAAAAAAAAATCCTTCCCCTAAGAGAATTTCTGAAGAGCAAATGTTCTTCGTCTGGAAATGCTGAGCACAGCTGCTGCCACTATAGTACCCGCGGGCATCCAGAGACTGAAACTGGCCTAGAAAAGCTGGCAGGTGGAGAGTGCCTGGGGTGTTATGCATTTATTGCCACATGAGTGTAGGGAATTACAAAACCATAGAAGCCATGGTTCCCTCAAGAATCAGTCAGTGCATTCAGTATAATTAGTAATAAACACGTAGATATGAAAAAGCTATAAAAAATTGAGTCAGTTCAGTTGCTCAGTCTTGTCCTACTCTCTGAATCCCATGGACTGCAGCATACTAGGCTTCTCTGTTCATCGCCAACAACCAGAGCTTGCTCAAACTCATGTCCATCAAGTCAGTGATGCCATCCAACCATCTCCTCCTCTGTTGTCCCCTTCTCCTCCTGCCTTCAATCTTTCCCAGCATCAGGGTCTTATCCAATGAGTCAGTTCTTTGCAATAGGTTGTCAAAGTATTGGGGTTTCAGTTTCAGCATCAGTCCTTCCAATGAATATTCAGGACTGATCTCCTTTAGGATAGAATGGTTGGATCTCCTTGCAGTCCAAAGGACGCTCGAGTCTTCTCCAACACCACAGTTCAAAAGCATCAATTCTTCGGNGAATTTTCCACAGTTTGTTGTGATCCACACAGTCAAAGGCTTTGGTGTAGTCAATAAAGCAGAAGTAGATGTTTTTCTTGGAGAAGGCAATGGCACCCCACTCCAGTACTCTTGCCTGGAAAATCCCACGGACAGAGGAGCCTGGTAGGCTTCAGTCCATGGGGTCGCGAAGAGTCAGACATGACTGAGCGAATTCACTTTCACTTTTCACTTGCATGCATTGGAGAAGGAAATGGCAACCCACTCCAGTGTTCTTGCTTGAAGAATCCCAGGGACGGGGGAGCCTGGTGGGCTTCTGTCTATGGGGTCGCACAGAGTCGGACACGACTGAAGCAACTTGGTGGCAGCAGCAGCAGCAGCAGCAAATGTTTTTCTGGAGCTCTGCTGCTTTCTCTGTGGTCCAATGGATGTTGGCCCAACAGTAGATTTTTCAGTTTGAGTTTATTAGAGTAAACCAGTATAACTGAGGCATCATTTTAGAGGGGCAGTATTAAAGAATAGTGTAGATTAGTTCAACGGTGAGTAGGAATTATGATATTCCACTAAGGGGGGCTGACAATCGGAAGAAAAATAAAGTCTGGTAGTGAGTTGGAAGGGCTTGAAGATGAATTTGGGTGACTTACAGCTGTAAGGGAGAAAAGGGTTCTTTTTCTTCCCCACCCCATCCTCAATAGCTGGGTCTGTGAAGTAGTCTGACAACAGTCATGCTAACAGGATAAAAGGTATGCACATTCATTAACTTTTAATGTTATGTGCATATGGGCCAGCATCAGAGAAAAGCAAAATTGAATATGGGAGAGAGTGTTGAGTTTTGAGAATTTATATACCATCTTGAAAGGGGGAGAGGAGGAGAATGTGGACCTCCAGGGAGAGTGGATGATTTTTAGAAAAGATGACTGATCTGGAGAAGAAGAGATGAAAGAGGTGTGATGTTTGTGACTCAGTTTTTTTGGGTGTGGTATCAAGTGGTGTTCTCTCCTGTGATGAGTCATTTTACCCAGTTGATGAAACTTCTGGGGAGGGGATTGAAGACAAGAGGGTTCCTTTTGGAGAAACTCTTTCTCTGTTTTTAATTTCTTTGAACTTTTTATTTTATATTGGGGTATAGCTGATTAACAGTGTTGTGATAGTTTCAGATGAACAGTGAAGGGACTCAGCCATGCATCAACATGTATCCATTCTTCTCCAAACTCCCTTCCCATCTAGGCTGCCACAAAGCATTGAAAAAGAGTTCCATGTGCTATACAGTAGGTTCTTGTTGGTTATCTATTTTAAATATAGCAGTGTGTCTGACTATAGGCAGATAAGAAGAATTTAGAGAAATCCTGTCCCTATGTTTGCTTTTCTTCAAGTGCTTTTGGTTCAAAATAATTTTAATGCTGAAGAGGTATAGATTTTGGGGTGTCATATTCTGCCTCCCTTCACAGCTGGGAAAAAAAAGTCAGGCTGAAAAGTTCTCTACCACAGAAATTATTGTGAGACTTGGCTGGTATTTAGGACTCCACACTTTCAATGTGGGGGGCACGGACTTGATCCCTTGTTGGGGAACTAATACCCCATGGCATGGCCAAAAAATAAATAGATAAATTATTGTTAATTCACTTTATGATGTCTGGTTCATTCCATTACTTAGAAGAAATGGATTTTTGAAGGATTTTACATTGAGAGATAATAATAACAGTTCTTACATGATCCTATTCAAGTGTAGTTTGCAGTCCATCAATTCTACCTTCCTTCCTTGAATGAGAAAACCTGTAGATGGATTTGGACACTAATTTTCATCCTAATATCCAATTTTCCAAAATAACCTCATTTTCTTTGGAGTTTTCTATCTTTTGATTAGGGATGACAGTTGGCTCTAAGAAGGTTACAATTTCCCTTGCAATGAAATGGAAAAATCTCATTACCAGTCCCCAAAACCTGCAGCTAGGTAGGATATGAGAGCTGATAAGGTCAAGAGATAGAACTTAAATCTACTTAATCTCCTGTACTTTGGGGAGATTTGACTAATTGGTTTTTCACTTTATTTCTCCAATGGTTTGGATTCTTTCTGATAGCTACTTGAAAAGTTTGTCTGTATTAACTCATGGTATTTTTAGATTTCTTTTTTCTTTTGGAATGCTAGTTACTGTCCTATTTCACCTATAGCGGTTACATATTATCAGCATGTTGTTGCATAATTAACAAAGAACAAAATTGCCTGATACATCAGAGCTGGGATCTCAAAACAAAGCAAATGTATTACATTATTTGCTTCTTATAAATTAATGTCATTTATGAAACTGATACTTTTACCATCTTGATGGGGTTTCCCAGGTGGCTCAGCGGGTAAAGAACCTGCCTGCAATACAAGAGACATAGGTTCAATCCTTGGGTCAGGAGATACCCTGGAGGAGGGCATGGCAACCCACTCCAGTGTTCTTGCCTGGAAGTTCATAGAGCTGCAAACAGTCAGACAGAACTGAAGCAAATTGGCATGCACACATATGAAATATGATAAAAATAATAAATCAAGTAAATGAGCAAACCAAACCAAAACAAGCAAGATACAGAGAACAGAGTAGTCAGAGCCAGAGGGGAAGTGAGGTGGGGGAAGGGCAAAATGGGTAAAGGAGGTCAACTATAGGGCGGCCACTAAAACTAAACATTTGGCAGCAAACATGCTATATAGCTTGCACTGAAGTCAAAAGATAATGTTGTATTCAAGAAAACATATAATATTATAAACCAGTGCCTCAATAAAAAATACTTTCAAAAAAGGGTGCTTAGCATCTCTAAAACTTTATGTTTAGCAAAGTGGAATAAATGAGTATTAACTAAATGATTACTCAATNGGAGTTAGTGATCGACAGGGAGGCCTGGCGTGCTGCAATCCATGGGGTCGCAAAGAGTCAGACACGACTGAGCAACTGAACTGAACTGATTTTTGGACTGGGAAAATGATTATATGATAAGATTTTATGGGTGCTAATAGATCCCAAACAAATGGTAAACAAAAGAACAGTTTTCATAGACCTCCAAGGAACAGTTTAAGTGCTCCCAAGCAACTACCAATTTAGTCAAGATTCATTGTTCAAAGTTAATTACAATAGAAAAATATGGCAGTTTTTCTCTTTTTGATAGTTGATAGCAAATATGTATATATATTGAATAAAAGAAAAAGGCAGCTGTATCTCAGGCCTCTATACTTTCCTTTATTTAATTGGTCTGATAGTAAAGGAACTGTTTTTACCAATCCAGAGTTAATTGGCTTCCCTGATGACCAGTGGTAAAGAGTCTGCCTGCCAATGCAGGAGACTAGGGTTTGATCGCTGGGTCCTAAAGATCGCCTGGAGTAGGAAATGGCAACCCACTCCAGGATTCCTGCCTGGAAAATCCCATGGACACAGGAGCCTGGCAGGCTGCAGTCCGTGGGATCACAAAAGGGTCCAACACAACTTACCAACTAAACAACCATGAACTCCACAGAGAGCATTCATTGTGTGTTTCTTACACAGTATCATTTTATAAGTGTCAGATGACTTTTATAAATTTTATAAATTCTTGGACTGTCTCTTTGGCCATATCATCTTGTAGTCTTCACATACTTTTTTGCTTAGATAGAAGGTTAATATTATATATTATTTGAAAACTATCTCTTTTCTTCTCTTAACTCCTTGTCTGCCCTTCCTTTGTGCTTGTCTAGATTTTGATTGCATATTGCTTCAGGACAAGTAAGAGGTCTGCTTAACTTTATTTAAAAGAAAGTTACATGGATTATTTGGGGCAGTGTTTATGCATTTGTTAAAATTAAGTGCTGGACTACTTTTCTGTTTTTTTTTTTTTTTTATGACATATCTTTTGGGCTTCTGATAATATCTATTACTTTTCACTTCTATTTGGAAAAGACATGCTATATATTTGTCTCAAAAAGCAAAGTCTTTCCTCTAATGAAAATCACCCATGCCTGTTGCTTGCTGTTTCTAAATACTTACCAGGGTTTTTTTTTTTTTCTCTTATAGGCAACAGTCAGCAGAGGACCTAGCCCGAGTACCTGCCAACTCTACCAGCAATATCTTGAACAGGCTGCTGGTCAGTTATGATCCCAGGATAAGACCAAATTTCAAAGGTTTGGCTCCCCCCCTCCAATATCTCCACTCTTTGTGGTTTAAAACCTAATTTTATCTGTGTAAAATCATTTATTTTGGATATTCAAAACAGTAATAACTGTTCTGTAATGTTCTTATGTCTGAGCAATTAAATGCAAAAAATGTTTAAAGGTAACCAGAATATTACTTGTAATAGTTTTATATGGTTCTAGGGTTTAGAAGAAAAGGGTATATTGTGAATCAATAGGCTAACCCGTGTGATGGGTTTTCTATTGTGAATTAATTGGCTGACCCATGTGATGGGTTTTCTAAGTACTTTGTATTCTTAACCTTAATAATTTAAATTTAGGCTCTGGCTCTCATTCAGACACCAAAATTCTACTTTGTAGGAGAACAGCCATATACTCATTTCAGAATAAAGAAAGCTCTGATAGGCATTTAAATTATTTTTTTACTCTTCGTTAGTGTTTTACATTGGTTTAGAAAAAAATCCCTCTCTGCTTTGGCTGAAAAAAAAAAGCCATATGGTTTTTAAAAACATGTTAACTTTGTGAATAAACGTGACTATATTTTTACTCCAATAAAATATTACCACCTATCACACCATTTAAAAACCAAAACTGTACTTGCAATAAAAGTTGTAGGAAGATTGTATGTGTTTGCCTGCCTTTCTTTCTCCCTTCCATCCTTTCTTTCTTTCTTACTTTCCCTCTTTCTTTCTTCCTCTTGATGACTTAGGAAGTTATATGAACATATCTCTGGAAAACTGCCATCTTTGTTGCTGGCTAAGGACAGGTATTAATGTAGATCACATTAACATTAGGAGGCTTGAAAAAAACAAAAGAAAAGCCTGCAGCTGCTTCTAGTCAACTGAAGTTATACAACGATGTTGTAAAAACAGAGTTTTTTGTTCATTACCAGAACCTACTCTGTTACTTTCAACAGCACCATGGTCTGGGTTGTCACATGTCTACCATGTATTGATTCGACACCTGTTTTTCATCAGTCAGAGGTTATGTGGCCAAAAGGCTAAATTCACATTTTCCCTTTGTTAGCCCAAGCAGCAACCCACAATGAGTGAAAAAAAAAAGAAAGCAAGAAAGAAATTGGCAACATTATACCTTAGTTCTCACTCTATGAACTCTAAAATTATTTTCCAACAGGTCAGGCAAAAATCTTTATAATGATTCTGTTGTATGTCTGATTAAGTTTACATTTTCATGGATTAAAAATCAAAATATAGTAATTGTTTTTGTATTCTGCTTGCCATTTTAGGTAGAAATTTGAAAGATTATAAAATGCAAAACATAAATCATATTTTTAAGTGATGTTTTTTAAAAAATAAGTCACAATATCTTAAAGTAAATGCATCAGCCCAAGTGAAAAAATTTTAAGGTAAATGTATTTTCCCAGAGTCCCTGCAATTTAAGAGAGAAATATTTCTGAATAAATAATGCTATGAAGAACAACATAACTCATTTTTTGTTTATGTGTTGATCCCTATTTAGAAGAATAAGTTAATAGCAATTGTGAACATGTATCTTGAAACCATAGGTTTATACATCTGTGTGGACTGGAAAAAATATAACAGCAGTATAAACCATAGAAATATGAAGATTCTGACCGAGGTTTTTACAGCCACTAAAATATATCCTTAATTTTTATTGACAGGCATTCCTGTTGATGTCGTAGTCAACATTTTTATCAACAGCTTTGGATCTATTCAAGAGACAACAATGGTAAGATTAAAATTCATTTAATATTTTTAGTTGTGAATAGTTTAACTGGAAAATATTAGAAGAAATTATAACTGAAAAATAAGGAGTGGTTCTCAGGGGAAAAAAATGCATGCTCTTTCCTAGTATAAATATTCAAATTTCATGGTTTTGTTCAATTAGTGATTTCACTGCCTTTGTATTTTTGCAGTTCACATTTAGTCTTTATACTGCATTGAAGCTTAGAGAATTGGGAGAATTAACACTTTCACTCTGAACAACTAACTGGATGCCACCTGGGAAAGGGATTTGTGCAGTCAGTATTCTGGTGCAACATTATTTCCTAATATGCTTATGTGTATGAGCATTCAAAAACATTTGTGTTCATAGATTTTTTTTTTCTTCTAGTCTTCTGAGGATAATCTTTGTTTTCTCTCTTATACTAATTTTGTGATGTGTGAAGCAGAGAATTGTAAAAAGCAAATTTGATTTTCCTAAAGTAGAGCAGCAGAGCTCCCTGAAAAGATTATGTTACATGAAGAAAGAACAAGGAAAGGCTCAGGAAGAGAAGGAAGGGGCAGAAAAGAGAAGCTTGGGGTGGGTGCTTGCTTGGGTCATGCTGCTGACCAGCATGAGTCGGGTGTTAGGGACAAAGAAGCCTGTGAAGGATGATTCGTGGATGCCCTGAATGACGTATGGTTCAGTTACCCTTCAACTTCTCAAAGACATTCAGGAAAGTCCACTTGCTTATTAATGTTTTAAAATATTAATATTGTACTCTTTGAAAAACCACATGCTAAAATGGTACTTCAAGTGGGAGGAAGAAGGCTTAAAACTTTTGTTTTTGGCATCATTTTTTGAGATATTTATATTTTTTAAAGTAATAATATAAAGTGTGTATTAAGAATCTAATAGTAATGATTAGAACACATTGCAGCTTTTCAGGGGGTATCTCAGACCAGAAGAAGAATGTATTCCTGTATTCCTAGGAGCAGCATAGTATGTTATAAAATTGTATGTTACATTTAAATTATGACACATTTTTGTATTAATTAATATCATAGTAAAATATATTGTAATGAGAATGTTATTTATTTTTCATAAAGGCATGTCTTTAACTCTGAATACTTGATTTTTTTGAGATTGTGTAGTTTGGATAATTAGTTATTTCGAAATCAAGTCCATAACTCACTTCCAGTGACTTTTAGTTAACCTAAATGACTGTATATCTAGTATATTATAGAACAAGATAGCTCTGAAACAATGTACAGACATGTATGTATCACTGAGGAGACAGGAGTTGCATTCATCATTTGAAAATATGACTAGTTTAAGCACTTCCCATAAGGAAGAGTGAGACATGCGGTTTTCTCAAGGCGAAACTTCTAGGAAATCTATTTGGTATCTGTGCTTTCCCCTGTACCCTGTTTTATCTTTCATGGCACCAGTATGCTACCCCTAAAACACCATGACAGAGGGGTTACATCCTGTTAGAAACATCCCCAATCCTATCCTGCATTTTAGGACAACTAATACAGGGGTTTTTTTCTGTTTGTTTTTGTTTTTCCCTCATTTGCACAAGAGCAACACATGTGTCCTAGCTCATTAAGTACCATTAATGTATCTATTCTTTAATAAATATTGAATGCCTTCGAGTTAACAGTGTGCTTCTTTTGATCCCATCAGTCCATCGTTGATTATATCAAGCTGAAAACACCTGGGATAAAGGGCTAACAGAAAAAGGGTAGGAACTTTCTTACAGGATATTTGAGAATTATGATAAAACAGTGCATGGTTTTTCATGTGATCTTCTCTCGTCCTCCTGCTCACTCTTCACAGTAGGGAACCCAGAGCACCAATTGCTGGGGCCAGATTGCACTGGTTTTCAGCCTGCACTCTTACCTCTGATCTCCATCTTTTGTCTGAGCAGAGCCTCTTACTCTGAGCTACATTCTCTCACTCTCTGCCCCCTTTTCCATTCACATCTTTCATTGCTGTCATTTGTTTGTTTGTTAAACTGATCACTTCTTGACTGTAATTCAGCTCTTTGTGTGTGTTTTCATTTTGTTCTCTGATGGAGTATTAACCTCTCAAAGTCAGAAACAGTGCATTCTGCTGCTTCATTTTCCATAAAATAGAAGACAGTAGGTCCTCAATGAGCGATTCCATAAATAATGTCATATTATTAACTAATATTGATTAAATAAATGAATAAATTCTGCTTTTGCCTAGCAAAAAGTGAGCCCAGGTCACCATACTATTGGCAGAGCAAACTTGAAAAATAGACTCATGTTGAATGTTACGTGTGTATGTGCTAAGTCGCTTCAGTCGTGTCCAACTCTTTGCAACTCCGTGGACGGCAGCCCACCAGGCTGCTCTATCCATGCCCTCCTTCAGGGATATTCCTGACCCAGGGATTGAACCTGAGTCTCTTACATCTCCTGCATTAGTAGGCAGGTTCTTTCTACTAGCGCCACCTGGGAAGCCCATGTTGAATTTACTTGATTAAATAACAGTAAAGAGTGCAATGACAGTAGAGTGTTAGTTTTGTCAATTTAGAGACCTTTATGCAGAGGGGCCAAATTATTTATATCTGCTATTTCTTTTGATGAAATAACCTATCTTTCCCTTTGTGTTGTGCAGATATAGCCTAAAGGTTCAGAATTGGAACCATGCTCATCAAATAGACTTAAATATTCTACTTTATTGTAATTATTTTTTGGTTTGGCAATGTTTATTTCATACTTTTAAAACAGATTTTTACAGATGTCTCTTTCAGGGCTGTGATATTTTATAGATTTGCTCACTCTTACCAAAAAACAAACTCTTTAATACCTAGTTGTGTAATAGTTAGGAAAGGTACAAACTACTAGCCATATAGAGATAACACTACATGTCTTCTAAGGGGAAAAATGTGTCTAAGACAAAACTTGTTCTTCATGACTTGTTACAAATGCCAATCAGAAATAGTAGCGATGACTCAGGAGGGTGACTCAGGAGGGTAACTCGGAGGGTACACAGGTGTGGAAAGCAGTTATATTTTGAGCGGGTATTTCTTTCTTTTTTTTTCTTCCAGTCACCAAGAGTGGGCTTATTTACTTTTCAGCTTTACTGAGGTATAACTGACAGGTGAAACTGTAAGAAAGTTAACACGTGTGTGATGATTTGATATGCTTCTACATTGTGAAAGGATTTCCCCCATCATGATAATTAACACATCCATCATCTCCTGTATATAGTTTTTCTTTTATAAGGACATTTAAGTTCTGTTCTCTTAGCAAATTTCAAGTACACAGTAGTGTTAACAACTATGGTCACCATGTTACACCCTAGATCCTCAAACCTTCTAACCTTATAACCATAAGTTTACACCTTTTACCAACCTCTCCCTATTTCCCATACTGCAAATTATTGGCAATCACTTTTCAACTCTCTATTTCTATGGATTTGACTTTTTTTTTAATATTCAACATATAAGTGATACCATGGAGTATTTATCTTTCTCTGTCTATTTTACTTAGCATGATGCTCTTCAGGGTCATTCATGTTGTTGTAAATGACAGTGTTTTCCTTCCTTTTTTTAAGGCTGAATAATATTCTGCTTTATATGTATGTGTGTGTGTGTGTGTATACCACATTTTCCTTATCCATTCATTCATTGATGGGTGCTTCGGTTGTTTCCATACTCTAGCTGTTGTAAATAATACTGCAGTGAACATGGAAATACAAGCATCTCTTCTAGATGTCTTGTTTCCTTTGGGCATATACCCAAAGGTGGGATCGCTGGATCATAAGATAGTTCTATTTTTAGTTTCTTGAAGAATCTCCATACTGTTTTCCATAGTTTTACTGGTTTAATTTCCCACTAATAGTGTGCAATCTCTCCACATTCTAAACAGAATTTGTTATTGCTTGTCATTTAAAAAAAAATTATTGTTGTATAGTTGATTTACAAAGTTCTGTTAGATCTCGTCTTTAAAAAAAAAAAGATCTCATCTTTTTCTGGTAATAGCCAAGGAGCATATTTCTTAAAAAAACAAAAGTAAATAAGCAAAAAGATACCCCAGAACAAGAGGCTGGAAAAGTAGAGAGACTTAGATTTGTCTAAATACAGGATATATGTTCTTGGAAATAGTATGCTGAACACTGTGATATCAGAGAGGCTTGTGTTTGAATCTTTTGTGTACTTGATATGTTATACCCTAAAATGAGTGGAAAAACTATAGAAATAAAGCAACAATATTTATTCTGGCATCACAACCCTAATGGGGTGGTGACTATAGGGTTGTGATGCATTTGCAAGTTAATGTCATATTTTACAGTAGAATCTCATCTTAAAGAAAATGAACCATTTATGTTTGTTAGTAACTCTGTTGTATAGTTGAGGTTTTGTTTATTAATATCCCCTTAGAAACTTCCCTACAAAGGTCTGCTGAAATAAAGGAAGTCCTAAAATTTGGAAGCTTCAATATTGGCCAGGCTTTCCTCTGCAGTTCAAGTCTTTCTACTTTAACTCCAGAGCCTGGTGGTGGGTACAGCGTTAAGAGCTGCAGACAGAGGTGGAGCAACTTTTTTTTTCTCTTTTATTTATTTTTTTTTCATTTATTTTTATTAGTTGGGGGCTAATTACTTTACAGTATTGTAGTGGGCTTTGTCATACATTGACATGAATCAGCCATGGATTTACATGTATTCCCCATCCCGATCTCCCCTCCCACCTCCCTCTCCACCCGATCCCTCTGGGTCTTTCCAGTGCACCAGGCCCGAGCACTTGTCTCATGCATCCAACCTGGGCTGGTGATCTGTTTCACCCTAGATGATATACTTGTTTCGATGCTGTTCTCTCAAAACATCCCACCCTTGCCTTCTCCCACAGAATCCAAAAGTCTGTTCTGTACATCTGTGTCTCTTTTTCTGTTTTGCATATAGGGTTATCATTGCAACTTTTGAAGGAAGGGGACAGCCCTTTTCCCCAGTGTATAAAGTTCGTTATCTAACAAAGAATCCGTTGAAGCGATGGGCAT